TTGTATATCCCATATAATATTTTGGGAGTGAACATCTCTAATTTAATTAGTGCAACATTCAAAGACAAAGGTGTAGACAATCAAATGAAGTTTGTCCCATAGGTCTGGTATAACAAGAAGTATTTGGTCTTTGTTTCCAGTTCCTGGTACAGGGCCCCCAAAATCCTTGGATTTTTCCAAGTGATAAAAATATCTTGTGTTATTCATAAAAAGTTTCTTTAAGTAGCACCTGAGTTTGGGCTAATGAGGTGACTTCGGGGTGGGACTCCTACCTAGTCTCAGGATGGGGCTGGGAAAGAACAAGAGAATAGAAGGATTAGAGGATTAGAACTTTCAGCTCCCCCACTGGCCTCCTTGGAGAGAAGGAGAGCTGGAAATTGAGCTCTATGACACATGAACAATGGCACTCAGAGCCCTTATAGGTAAGTAGGAAAGCACCTCTGAGCGCTGAGAGGGTGGCACGCTCAGAGAAGGCATGGAAGCTCCATGCCTCTGGGTCCTCCCACCATGAACTTGACCTGTGCATCTCTTCCACTGGCTGTTCCTCAGTTGTGTCCTTTATAATAAACTGAGAAAGTGTTTTCCTGAGTACTGTGAGCTGCTCTTACAAATTATGAACCCGAGTACGGTGTGGTGGAAATCCCTAAATTTACAGCTTGTCGGGCAGAGGTATGGGTAGCTCCTGGGACTTTTGGTGTCTGAAGTAGGGATAGTCTCCTGAGCCAAAATATAAATTGTTTCACTCTGTGTGGTATTTCAAAGAAAAGTGAAAAGAACCCTACAGCTAGGGTTGACAAATTTTCTTTTAAAGATTTAAAATAAGTTCAGTCCCTTTACCTTTCTAAACAAGACAAAATTTATAGTCTTTTTTGTTTTTTTTTCCTTTTTCCTTAGTAACAATAATGAGGTAGTTGGTCTGAAATTTCAGGGATCTTTATGTGACATACGTGTATTTATTGAGCAACAAAACACTTACACATTTAATAAGTTGCAATAGAGCTGTAAACTTTTAAATGGTTGAAGGAAATGTTTTCGCAGGGTTTATTAGCTTCATAAATAAATCTCACTGAATAATATCACCTTACCACTTCCCTGGCCTGTATATAAACATTCTAACTCCTCTTTACAGGATGATAAATATTAAGCACAAAATAACAAGATTAGAATGCAGTTTATGTTCTGAAAGCAAACCTAATAAAGAGGTAAAAAAAAAAAAAAAAATCCACAGCTAAGGAAAACACATTCTCCGTTGAATTAATTGTGGATTTTTTTCCCCAGGGTTTTTGTTTACATGTTAGACATTTGAATGAATATAACTGGCTGCTAAAGAATAAAAACAAATGTAGGCTTTATTAACCAACTATTTAACACACCTTTAAATGCAACCCAGGATCGTTCAGGTGGAAATTTCCTGCATCAGATTGTACACTCTTCCAGATAATTCTGACAGCCTGGTCAAACTCTGTGTTTCTGAGAACCTACTTGTATGGCAGTAGCTTGTCCCAGACCTGGCTGACAAAGATTCTGGCTCTTGGCGCAGATCCAAGTATCTAGGGCTGCACAGATTCCCTTGGGAGTTTCTTATGCAAGTCCTGACCCAGGTCCTACACACGGAGCCTGGTTCAATGTTCTGCCCCCGAAAACACTGCATGTCCAGACTGCCAAGACTGCTCCTTGCTTTAGTAATTACTCTATTTCTGGTCCATGGAGATTTCTATTTTATTTATTTATTTTTTTACTATTGCTATATATTTGTTAATTTAACTTTTTAATATCCAAGGGAGCCTTTTCGGCTTGTACTCAATCTTTTAATCTTAAACTATAATAGAAGTTGATATTCTGATTCCACAATATAGCATATATAAAACAAATTTGTGTAGTATAATGATTCCCCAGTAATATCTAGTAGAAAATAGAGCTTTTGCTTACAACTTTTCTATTGAGGTTTTTTTTTAAAATTAGGTTAATATATTTATATGGTTCATAAACTAAAAACAGATTTTCCTATAATTTGGGTGTGTTAAGCATGAATGTGTTCCCCTCCGTGTACATGATGGACCAATGTGCCAAGAAACTTCCCTATGTCAGACTCTTCAGGTGGCCCAGGTATCACAGAGACTTGTCCAGTCTCCTGTACAGGTACTAGCTGATAAATTAGATTACAAGTTGATAAACATTTATTTAACCCTTTTGTTTTCACTATTTTATATGGTATGGATGGAGTTGTGTTTCCCCAAATTCATATGTGGATGCCCTCATCTCCATTGTGAGTATATTAGGAGATAGCTATAAATTGGTAACTAAAATTAAATGATGTCATAAGAGCGTGGACCTAATCCAACAAGACTGGTGCCCTTATAAAAAGAGGGAAGAAAACCAAAGATCTTTCTCTCCCCCAGTGCACAAAAGAAAGGCCATGTGAGGACATAGTGGGGAGGTAGCCATTGGCAAGCCAGAGAGCCCTCACCAGAAATCTCCCTGAGGGCACCTTGAACATGGACTTCCAGTTTCCAGAACTGTGAAAAAATAAATTTCTATTGTTTCATCTACCTTGTCTGTGTTGTTTTGTTATGGTGCCTGAGCTGACTAATAAGTGTACATGTCCTCACCCGGGACCCTTTCTTCTCCCTTCTCTGGTGACTAACCCTCTAGTCTTCTGGAATAGGAGTATAGGAGGATTCACCTGGCAGCATCGAGTGGGCAAGGAGATGTGGTATCCTAATTAACATTTTAGACAGACTACAAACAAATCTTGTTTTTATTCCTATTTTCATCTCTACTTCTAGAGAGGCTTAATTTGAATAATTCTCAAGCCTTTGAAGGACCTGCAAGATAAAGCAGGTAGCTTTTCATTTTTTTTCCCATTAGGAGATGAGGATTTGGTTTACTTTTTTGTTCTCATTTTGTTTTATTTTTTGGACAAAAGCAGTTAGCACTTGTCCACCTGCTACTCAACTCCCCAAAGTTCAAGGCTGCCATGTCCTTTACCATTCCAGGTTATCCTTTGGGGTTTAGAATTTTTAAATATTTTCTAATTTCATTACAAATTCCTTAGTGAGATTTCAGAAAAAAGAGTAATTAAATGCATGTGTTCATTCCTCCATCAACTGGAAAATTATGTCTCTTCTGTAATTTGGATCACAATAATTAATTTTATATTTCTTTGTATTTTACTTGATTATGTGCATATATTAATTGTATGTTTCTTTGTATCTTCCTTTACTGGGAGTCCCATGAGGGTAGGATAGCCAGTGTTCTTATTGACCTTAACGTCCCCAGTGCCTGTCCCAAGACCTGACATACAGCAGAGGGTCAATGATTATTTTTTTTTCCCTGAAGCATATAAAACCGAACTGTAACAATGATTATTTTTTGAACAGACAAGATATTCCCCAGATTTTAATGATTTTCCAGTTGCCATAGTTTTTTTCTGCATGTGAGTCCAACTTTCCTTACTCTAATTCCATTTCCCTTCCAGCTGATGTTGATTTAGTCTCCTAATTACTGGCCAAGATTCAAGTGATATGAAGCAATAAAAATATTTTTATATTTGCTTATGGGGGAATGAGATTTAAAAAAGCATTTTGAAGGTTGGGATTTTTCCTAAGGACTTCAAATATTTCTAAATAACACCCTCTAATTGCTAAAATATCATTAATGGTTTTCAGTACTCCAAATTTTACATAAGATTTCAGACCATGTTGAATATTCAATCCAATTAAATAAAAAACTTTTTTCAAGATGTGAACATATTTACCATCTAAAACTATCTTGAATACCACTAATAGTATATATAACTCACTTTAGGAAACACATTATAGACCAAAACAGCATCAGCTATATTATTTTCAATAACATTAAGTCTACTATGTTTAAATTGATCACCAAGGATTAAACTAAAATGAGTCAAAACATGATTGGTGTTTCACATCTTTAGCATGTGAAGGTAAGTGTTCATTTTATCATATAGTGAAATTATAGAAAATTGATTTCAAGTTGATTTTTATGAAATATGTTTAATTATAAATTAACACAGTGCATATGCTTTTCATGGGGTGGTAAATATTACTTTTAAAGGATACAAGAAAAAATAATATCACAAATATTTTATTTTTCTATCAGATAATCTGGTTATAGTCATTATTTTATAGTAATCTTTGAATGAACGAGTCTAAGTTAAAGGTATACTCATCCTTGCCTGTTAAAGGTTAAAACAGAGAATCAGGATGTTCTTCAATAAGATTTTGACTATATAACCTATGTTTATAACTAAATGTTAATATCTTTACAATTCATTTTTTTCTTTCCTTTTTTTATTTCAGAATATTACAGGGGTGCAAACGCTTTAGTTATGTATATTGCCTTTGCACTGCCCAAGTCAGAGTTACAAGTGTGTCCATCCCCCAGACAGTGTGCACTGCATCCCTTAGGTGTGAGTTTACCAATCCCCTCCTCCCCCACCAGTTTTCCAACCCCCATGAGTGTTACTTCCATATGTGCCCATAAGTGTTGGTCAGTTAGTACCAATTCAATGGTGAGTATATGTGGTGCTTGTTTTTCCATTCTTGGGATACTTCACTCAGAAGAATGGGCTCCAGCTCCATTCAGGATAAGACAAGGGGTATTAGTTCACCATTCCATTCTTTTTTTTTTTTTTTAGAGACAGGGTCTTACTCTGTCATCCAGGCTGAAACGCAATGGCATGATTATAGTTCACTGCAGCCTCAAACTCCGGGACTCAGGAGTACCCTTCTATTTCAGCCTCCTGAGTATCTAGGACTGTAGGTGTGAGCCACCATACCCAGTTAAGTTTTAAATTTTTTGTAGACATGAAGGTTTCACCATGTTGCCGATGCTGATTCTTAAACTCCTGAGCTCAAGCAATCCTCCAGCCTCACCCTCCCAAAGAGCTGGGATTACAGGTGTGACCTACTGTGCCCAGCCCCATCTTTACAATTATTTTGAAAAAAAAAAAAAAATTCACTGTGCTTCGTACTTACCTACAATGTCCTTCATAAGGCCTACAATAATCTCATCTCCTATAATCCAAGGACGCTTCCCTACGTCATGACCATAGCCTCCCCTGAAATTAAAAAGGGACATTAATATTTCTTAGCTCTTCTGTGCATATGTGTGATTTTTCAAATATTAGCTTTAGCAAATGAACATTTCTATATGGCCTTTGTAACATCTTATTACATAATTATATAAAAGCTTGCAATTTTAAAACCAAAAAATAATACTTGGGAATAATGTCTTTTAATATCATGTTGTTATTTCTTTGATTTTCTTTTTGTTAGGAAGGTGGGAGATTGCTCATACACTATTTCAATATTTTGCTGGATTTTAGAGTTTAAGATAGTATTTTTTGCTCAGTTATTTTGAAATTTTCCAGATAATTTAAACACTCTACTTGTATGCCTGTAGCATATAAGTAGTATCTATACTAAAACATAGATGCTATATTTTTAGGCTAGAGACTGAAATGATTACAAGTTAATTTTTAAAATATATCTACACTCTGTAAATTAAATAAAAGTGTATAAAATATGACTATATTCATGATGACATTTCAGGTAAATAATAAAACTTAGCAATAATCAAAGTCAACACTATTTGGGTTAACTTGTTTTCTAGCAATTTCGCCTTCACACTCCAGCTTAATTTTATTGTTCTGGTAAATATCCCAGAAGGCATAATAGAAAAACACAAAATACACAGAGTACTTCAAATCTCCAGAAGTTTCCATCAAATGAGGAAGGCAAATGCACTTGAAAAACATAGAAGAAATTAAAACAAAGGATTAAGGGGAAGTGCCTCCAAGTGCTGTTTCACACTTGTATCTTTAAAGCTCCGAATTTGATAGTTCTTAATTCTTTAGGAATCCAAATGCTTTATAAACTTGGAAGAAAGAAATTGAGTAGGTGCTTTGTATGTAGTGCAAACCTGAGTTTGAAACCATGCACAGAAATTTGGTAAGCTAGTAAACATGCCCGAAGAGGGGTGGTAAGACTAGAGAATCGGAGCCCTGTCTTTTAGCCTTTGCTGATTTCCATGGTGTAAATACTCCATCATGGCTAATTTCATGCTACCAAGCAAAAATTCTGGGTATTTCACAACTGGCTTTCGTCACCTCGTACAAGTCAGCTCCAGGTCCTTATTGGCTGGTTGTGAAATCACATGTATCAGCCGCTTATAGGGCCCAATTTTCCACATTTGTAAAAGTAAATGGGTGACAATAATGTACCTTCAAGGGTTGCCATGAAAAATAAATGAGACAACATGCAAAAGAGAGTAATACTTTGTACTCCTTTGCTGAGTCTTCTTTCCTGATATAAATCTATTGCTCAAATTCCCTCCATCAGCATGTGGTGTATAACACAATTTTTAAACTAATATTTCGATTACCATATAAACTAAGATGAAGGAAAAGGACTTTCTTTGAAAATAAACATAGACTGCTAAGAACTAGGGAGGAAGAGAGGGCAATTGTTAGTTATTATTATTCATATTATTATCAGATAGCCTGCAGCTTGCCTCTTTCCTGATTTCCAATATAAATGCTAAAGACAAAAATCATTATCATTAAATGGTAGTTAAAGGCAGATACTTGGATCCTTTTTTATTTTAATCACATAGAGCTCCATGGCCTTTGCTGATGGCACAATACATCTTATTACATTTAGGTAGTAAAATTCTATGTTCTGCCTCAGAGAATTTATATCTCAGAATATTATGCCACCTACTCCTCACTCTGGTAGACACCATGGTAATAATCTTTAAGGATAGGTTTCTTCCTGCAATGCTTTTGGCATCTCCTTCCCCTTAAAAATATCACACATAGAATCCACTTCCTCATTTTGTCAGCCCACTAGCCTGAGGTAGTGAAATGTATTTAGAAAGTGTTATCCAAATAAACCCAAAGTAAAGTGGCCTGTCATTAGAAAGAGTTGATGTAAATTAAAGTGCAGTTATAAATATATGTATTAGAGTTAAGAAAAATATTATATTGCTTTCATTTAAAACTCCTGTGAACTAAAATGCTCACCACTCCCCAATGGCTGACTGAATGGACCCCCTCGTGGCCAAAGGAATATTTCTAGGGCAAAGTTGCCTGCCAGGAGGAGGGAGGTCAGACGTGCCTTGTCATGCCCCCCTCCCTTCTTGGAGACTTCCTTTGTAACCCATTAACAGGCCTAAGGGTATGCAAGACAAACCTGCAGGTCCTCAATTTATGCAACAAATGGTGGCTTATCTCAGTTAAATAGTTTATGTTAAAACATTCCAGGTCTTTAGACAAAGCTTCATGTCTTTAGCCAATCTAAAGAATCTTTACAATCTAAAGAATCTTTAAACCCACCTATAACCTGTAAGCCCCCCCCTCCTTCAAGATGGCCCTCCTTTTTGGGCCAAACCAATGTATGCCTCCCACATATTGATTGATGGCTTTATCTGTAACCCTTGTCTCTAAAATGTATAAAAACCAAACTGTAACCCAGCCACAGCGAGTCCACTTGCCCAAGGCCTCTTGGCAGTGGCTCCGGGTCATGGTCCTCAAATTTGGCTCAGAATAAATCTCTTTAAAATTATTTTGCAGACTTTGGCTTTTTTTCTGTTGACACTCCTTAAAATAGTTGTAGCATAGCTGCAATATTCCTTTTACAAATACTGGCAAGAAAAAGAGAGTTAACTCACTACCATGGGATAGATCACTGCCATGAGTGGGGTATTGTCTGAGATGTCTACTAGCAGTATTTATTCATGAAATTAGAGTGCAGGATATAAAATCTAATTAGGAAGTTAATAGACACTTGAGTCCTCTTTAAAGTAGGACCATGCTTTAATCATCCTACAAAATGAAAAGTGGCCCTGTTTTTAGAAAGCATCCTTCCACAAGTAAATAAATAAGATTTCACAGCCTTCCTTAATGATATCACAACTTTTTTTCCATGACCCAATGATAATGAGCCCTGAAAGATGTTGGAGCAAATCTTTATAACAAGCCAGGCCATGAACGTTCTTATACTTTCTTATACTTTTGGTTTTTAAAGAAAGGAATGCTTAAATTGAATGAGACAAGAAGGGTCTGCAAGAAAGGTCTATACTATCAGTGCCCTGCCTGCGCACTCATTGCCATGTAAAACGAGCCATTGTCTGTAAACCGGGTGGCTTGATCCTGATACGGAATTCACTGGGACATTTTCATCTTTAAATAATCTTACCTAAACTGTCACAATTCTTAGAAGAATCACTATAAAGACAAAGCTATTGCAGGTTTTTGCTCTTGTGAAAAAGAGAGACCACCATTTATCTAGCAGATATGACAAAGTAGATGACCTAAAATATTGTGATTCTATCTTAGGGACATAAAATCCATTCATCAACGTAAAATATCCTCTTTAGGACCAATACTTCTTTGCCTGCTAGCTGAATTTTTTTTTTTTTTGTTTTTAACTCAAGTTATTCTCCTTTAAATAATCTATATTTATTAGTAAATATAAAATGTTCTCCCCAAATTCGTTAAGCTTATTGCCTAAGCATTCTAGCAGATCCACAGATCCCAAGCATATTGTTGCTTATTATTGTAGCACCATTTTCCTGATAATTACTAATAATTATTATGTATCAAATGAGTCCAATCACCCTAAAAGTTTTCTATTTCAGAATATTAAAATCTTCTAAATGTCATTTTACAAAAAAGTATATATTCTTCAAAGTGTTATTAATTCACTTTAGAAAAATCCCAGAGTTGAAAGTGAAATTGCAAAATAGCAATAATAAGCATTTTAAAAAAAGACACAATGGTAAGTGCTGCTAAAGAAACTTTATTTTCACAGTTTTGTCTTAAATAAGCAGAAGTTTTAGAGGGAAATCATTTGGGTTCTGCTGGAGTCTTTGTGTGTTGCCCTCAAAATCATATGTTAAAACGTTATCACCAATATGACAGTATTAGCAGGTGGAGCATTTAGGAGGTGATTAAGCCATGAGGGCAGAGCCCTTATGAATGCCATTAGCACCCTTATAAAAGAAGTGGGAGAGAGGTGTTGATCTCATCTACTAAGTGAAGAGAGACACAGCAAGAAGCACCCATTTGGTAGCAGAGAGCAGCCCTCACTGAACACCTAATCTGCCAGTGCCTTGATTTTGGAATTCCCAGACTCCAGAACTGTGAGAAAATAAATTTCTGTTCTATATAAATTATCCAGTCTCAGGTATTCTATAAAGCAGCAGGAATGAACTATGAGAGATCTTAAATTATCTCGAAATGTTCCTCTATTCTTAACTTTCATTTAGTATAATTAATCAAGGATGGTAGCCATATGAATTACAAGGTCAGGCTGCATTATGACCAGAAATGGTTTATTCTGCACATAAGTGTGCTAGGCAGTATGTCTGCAATAGGCCGTAAAACTAAAGAAGATGACAGCCATGTGCCAAATGGCATTTCCTATTTTACAGGCCCTGGATGGCCAGAGACTTGATATTGTATCCCTGAGCAATATCTCGCTTGGTTGAAGCACTCTAATTTTTATGTTACTATTAAGATTATAAATTTTTAACATTATCTTTTCCAACTAAGCAACTAATTTCCATGTGCATTAAGGCACTAAGTAAATGCGTAGCTGCCTTTGACTCAGTGCTTCCCATATTCTTCCAATGGTCAAGGAGAAAGGGAGGACTGACATGGCTTGAGTATCAGCCAAGAGGTACAACAGATGTGGGGTGGAAGCGGGTAAAAAATGAAGAAGTGATCAGGTGAAACTAACCCCAATAACGAGAGGCCCTGGATTTAGAGGCAAACTGAACACATGTAGATGAGATTTAGTACAGAAACCAAAGCAATAGTCAGGGAATTGAAGGAATCAACAGTCCATCAAAGAAAGGTGCATGAAGATTACTTTAAACTGAATACATCTGAACAAAAATCAGCCACAGAAAGAAATACTATCTAAACTTAAGCAGAGCCTCCTAAAAATACAGCTACCATTGACTCACCCTCAGAAAGAAGATGAGCTTTAGCACCAGGAGGTACAAATTCAGCTGCCATTAATGTCCTCCTAGGAGCTTCCAGCCAGGGAGGATGCTGCCCATTAACGTCAGGATGAAAAAGCCCAATAGACTTTGTTATACTTTCCCATCAAAGCCCTAAAACTCTTTCCTTTAGTTAAGTTGGTATATAAATCCATACCCCTGGCTGTTCAGTGAGCCACTCCTTGTCGACTGCTTCTGCTCACGTGTGAAATACACTTTTCTCCTGTTAATCTGTACAATTAATGTACAGACCTTAAAAAAGGCCAGAGATGGGATTTTAAGCTAAATATTTGGGAACAACAACAAAAAATAATAATGAGCAAATACTTTTGGGACCAACGATGGTGGGTGAGGCAGGTGGGTCAGGAATGTGATCGTGTACCTCGAACCCCACTGACATTTATGGGCAGGCAGGACCATGATGTTGACTAGGACACCACGGCTTAAACCAAGAAGACTGAAATGAAACAAACAAAGCCAAGATGGGATGGATATCTTTTGCTCAGAAAAAATCTTCTTTAATGCAGTTTAAATTGCCTCATGCATTAAAATGTACCTACCTCCTTTGTGAATCGTCTCATAAAACTCTATAAGAAGGTTTAATTAAGACTATGAAGTTTTTCTATCATCGCAAAGTAAAATATAAAAAGTAAAAGGCAACAACAATAGAAGGGTAAGTGCTATGACAGGCACTTCCCTGAAATATAACTTTAAAGCCTTGAAAATAATCAACCAGTCCTTTACTTAAGTAGGATAACCATAAGGATATGAATAGAACAGCAGGGTAGCATCTTTTTTTAAATGCCTGGAGAATAAAAATGCACAGCCTTGCTGAATGAATATCCAAGAGGCAAGGACACTCTCTAAAGTTCAAATTCATTCGACCTAATTCTCTGCTATCTCTTACATTAAGGCCAAAAATGAATATTAACCATTTTTATTAACTATGACCCCCATTTATTAAATACTAAAACCTTCTAGTGCAAAATGTGATATGTATTTTGCAAATTGTGCATAAAAGTTATGCAGATACATTTATAACAGGATTAATAAAATATATAAACTTCTATCATTCCAGCATTAAGTTGTAAATTTAACAATCTTAACCACTAAAATTAAAAACTTTGCAATGTTATTTGATCACCACAGTAGGTAGTAATCATTAGCACAGTCAGTGTAAACCAGACTTGGAAGAATAGGTACTTTTCCCAGTAGGAAAGACCAGTAACATGAAGAATGAAGAAAGGTAGAGAAAATATTCTGAGTGTCTATAAGAGCCAAATGTTTCACCTCCAGAATTCTTATTTGGTTTGGTTTCATCTTTCTGAAAGTGTATTACCTGACCTTCAAGTTTGGCTCATCTCCATATGGATTTCTAATTATCAGCAAATCAGAAAATATTTTAAAAATATCTCTGGATATTTTAAATATTTTAAACATTTAAAGATATTTAAACGTTTAAAAATTTAAAAATATTTCTAGTTGAAACTTTATCAGTAATTACTGGGGAAAGATAGAAAATACCTAAGAGTGGGTTAGTTTCCTTAAGGGGTTTATAATACAGGTAAGAACATGAAACTGATAAAAATAAAATAAAATAGATACTTCCAAACTGCCTACCCAAGAGTAATGACTTTGGGGGAGAGCTAATCAATGTGGCTGAGAAGACTGGGCTTACAGAATGTTCAGGTAGAGAGAGAGTGTGAGGAGTCTCACAGTCAGAAGAGTAAAAGTAGAACAAAAGCAATGGAGAAAAAAATGGTTCTGATTGAGACAGTTTCATTGTTGGTGAAAATCAGCCTTGCTAACTGCAAACAGAGCATCTTTCTCAATAAACCATGGGTTTCTTTGGGGAGAGAAATGCCGTCTGCTTTACTAGACCTCTTGCCTTCCTCAACAAGTTTTGTTTCCTTATTTATAAAAAGAAGTATTGAGAGCTTAGCTAAGAACTAATCATAAAAGAACAAAAATCCTGACTATTACCTCCTTTGTTAGTCACTGAAGAAATAAAATAGAATGATTGCATATGATTTAGAGGTGTCAACATAAGAGAAGGACTTAAAGTTTTGATATTTTGCAAGTTTTACTCTTGACTCTGCCACTAACTAGCCATGTGACCTTATTTTGATCCTCAGTTATTTCATCAATAAAATCAGAGGACTGAATAGCACGATCACGAGATTTCTCCCTGCCCTAAAGTAAAGTTGGCCCTCTGTATCTGTGGGTTCTGCATCCATGAATTCAACTACCCATGCATCAAAAACATTTGAGGAAAAAATAATGGGTAGTTGCATCTGTACAGAACATGTACAGACCGTTATTCTTATCTGCTAAACAATACAGTATAACAACTATTTGCATAGCATTTGCATAGCACAACTATTTGCATACATTGTATTAGGTATTATAAGTAATCTAGAGATGATTTAAAGTATACAAGAGGGCTGGGCCTGGTGGCTTACACATGGAATACTAGCACTTTGGGAGGCTAAGGAGGGAGGATTGTTTGAGGTGAGGAGTTTGAGACCAGCCTGAGCAAAAGCGAGACCCAGTCTCCAGAAAAAAATAGAAAAATTGTCTGGGTGTGATGGCACATGCCTGTAGTCCCAGCTACTCAGGAGGCTGAGGCAGGAGGTTTGCTTGAGCCCAGGAGTTTGAGGTTGCAGTGAGGTATGATGACGCCATTGCACCCTAGCCCAGGCAATAGGGTAAGACTCAAAAAATAAATAAATAAAATAAAATAAAATAAGCGTATGGGAGGATGTGCATAGCAGAGACTTGAGCCCTGAGGACTTGAGCATTGTGGACTTTGGAATCCAAAGGAAGTCCTGGAATCAATCCCCCATGGATAGAAAAGGAGAGCTGTATAAGGATTACAGTTTAATATTTCTAAATATTAAACAACCTAGTGTGATTTTCAAAATTCTTGTATGAATGTGGAGTAGTGGCTTTTAAAATAATACTTACATTTTGGCCCACTTATCAAGTTCTTCTTCAATATATGATTTAACCATTTTTGGTTGAAGGCCAAGAGAATTTCCCAAGAAATAGATGGCATTTTCATCCTTATTCACTAAAGATAAATCAACTGGAACAGAAGAAAACATATATATAAAAAAATGCTTATTGAATCAACATTCTTCCATTTGGTATTGTTAATCTGGGACAAACAATTAACAAAATTAACTCAAAGAAAGGTAATAAATATCTAATAATTACTCCCGTGGGTAACATCAGGTTCTCTGAAAAATCAGTAAACCTTTGCATTTTTTAAACCTGTAAGAGACTATTATAGTGATCTTTCATGTTTATTGAGCTCCATGAGGAAATCTAAATTGGCAACTGCTTCCAAGCATAAATAGCCAAAGGCAATAGAAAAAAAATTAAAAATAGGTTTTTTTATAAGAAATACATCAGTCAATCAAATCATATTAGAAAGTTACCAGAATTTAGGCAAGTACTAACCATTTGCAATAACTAGCATTGTAGATGTGGTAAATTTTAAAAATCTAAAGAAATTATTTATATAGCTGAAGTAGATGTACTGGATTTATACTTTTTTTCATTCTCCATCTATACATACAAGTATAGTATTAATGTATATATAGGCAAAGGTTGTTCTCTATATTTACTTCTTTGTCAAATAAATAAGAACTTTGGTGATTTGTCTCTTACAACTCATCCTTGACTACAAACATACAAATCCATGTTCTTAAAACACAATCCAGAAATGCACACACTTACAAAATCACAATTGTAAACTATTGAGTTTTCTCTTAATTCTATGGGGAAAAAAAAAGACTTACACTTCTTGCTGATATTTCATTGGAATCATTTTGTGCTATAGTGATCTTTACTTCAGACTACTTAATTAAACCTTTAAAGATCTTTTATGGACATACCATCTGTGTCAACCTCATTGCTTTTATAGATACTGTGTCTCTTCTTCATGGGCTTTTTAAAAGTTGACTTATAAAAGAAGTGTAAATATTGTTTGCACATTTGCATCATGAGGGTCCTCTTGGCTAGGGTACTCATTCTTTGCTATACCTCAGGATCACATATGACTCAGGGTTTCCGATTCTCCAGGCGGTCATGTCAATTGTTATTGTCTCATCAATCATTATGGATAGTCATCTCTTACTTTCTATAGCTAGAGTCCAAGTCTAGAGCCTTCTGCAATACATCCGTATCTTTCATAGCTACTTTGCTTTCTCCGTACAACCCTTGAGAATGTTTGGGTTCTAGGTGCAGACACACTTCCAAGTTCTTCAGTGCCAGCTGCCTCACTTACACAATTCCACTTCTTATAGATTCTGTTAGTCAGCTTATTTCATTGTCTCATGCTTATAAACTGAGGAAGAGTGCCCTTTCTGAAGCATTTATTGTATTTATCTTTTTCTTCCAAAGCCAAGTCAGGATTGATATACACAAGTCATTCCTGTCCTTCAGGATATTTTGTCTGCAGTGCTGAGAATTTTTTTTTTCCCTGCATACTGAGGATATGATGTTCTGCCAAAATATTTATTGTAGAAATGATGGTATTGTCCTATTTCTTTTCTTTGAAGTAGGTGTTGCCAATTAGGGCATATGTTTTTGCATTTTATCAATGGTCTTCTCGGTTTTCCACCTCACTTCAGTGGCCTTTTCACAAAGGTCATAGAGCTTACTGTAACCTTCCTTTTCAACATAAAGTTCTGCTTGATTAACACAAGCTCTCTGAATTAGTTCGCTAGGACTTCCATAACTAAGTCCCAAAAACTGGGTAGCTCAAACAACAGAAATGTATTGCCCCACAGTTCTGGAGGCTAGAAGTCCAAATCAAGTAGTTGGCAAAATTGCTTCTGTTTGAGAGACGTGAGGGAAGAATTTGTTCTAGGTCCTTCTCCTTGGCTTGTAGATGGCCATTCCCTTGTATGTGTGGTGTTCTACCTGTATACCTGCCTGTCTCCAAATTTCCCGGTTATAAGAACACGATGTCATACTGAATTAGGGCCCACTCTAATGACCTCATTTTAACATGATTTTTTTTTTCTTTCTGTAAAAACATTCTGAGGTACAGGGAGTTAGGGCTTTAACATATGAATTTTTAGGGGGCATAATACAAACTTCAAATACTTTGCTTAAAGATTCACTTGATTCCAAACTTGCTGTTGAATTTCGGCCTTCTATAAACAGGCCCTGCCCCAGTTGCACTTTAAGTCAACAGCTTTAGAACCGTATCTTCTGGAAGTCTCCTTTCTTGGCAAAGACTGCAATATGATTGCTGCAGAGTTCGTGGTTCTGAAAACTTGCTTGGTTGCTTCTGAGTAACATCTTAATGCACTAAAAATATCTATCGCTCGGGACCTTATCTATTTATCCTTTTACCCTTTTAGTTTATGTTCCAAGCCTAACCTGGGAACCGATTTTATTTTTATTTCTTAAATATAAATCAAAATATCAACATCACTTCTGATTCACAGCTTCTCTCCATCCTACATTCACACCTGATTTAAATTCAGAAAACACAGTTTGGAACAGAGAAATAGGTCCATTGTAATCTGGTTCTTTGTTTGATTTTTACTACTGCTGCTTCTGATACCTCCAAGAGGGGAAAGAAAACCTTACTCTGGCGTTTGTGTCTTCAGGTTAGCTCTTTTCCTTATGAGGTACTTTTGATGAGTTCATTAGAAACCTCCACCCTCCAGTTCCCCAAAGTAGCAAATACACACTTCAGCCGATGTATAATCTGACCCACTACCACTGCCTCCCGCCTCATGCAGTGTATGTATTTCCAGATTCTTTTTGGTAAAGTTACCACATCCCAACTAGCAAACTTCTCAGGTATGTACCTTTTGAAGTAACGTAGGCTCAACTACTTTTTACTGGGTTCACAATTCAAAGGATACGCAGGTATGCCTCAGAGAGATTATGGGTTCAGTTTAAGACCACAATAAAGCACATATTGCAGGAATGTAAGTTACACGAATTTTTTCCAAGTGCATATGAAAGTTATGTTTGCACTGTACTGTAGCTTATTAAGTATGCAATAGCATTATGTCTAAAAAAAGATGTACATACATTAATTAAAAATACGTTATTGCTAAAAATTTCTAATGATCATCTGAGCTTTCAGAAAGTTGTAATGTTATTTGCTGGTGGACTGCCTTGCTTTGATGCTGATTGCTGCTGACTGATCAGGCTGGTGGATTGCTGAAGGTTGGGGTAGCTGTGGTAATTTCTTTTCTTTCTTTTTCTTTTTTTTTTTTTTTTGAGACAAAGTCTCACTCTCTTGTCCCGGCTAGAGTGTCGTGGCGTCAGCCTAGCTCACGGCAACCTCAAACTCCTGGGCTCAAGCAATACTCCTGCCTCCCAAGTAGCTGGGACTATAGGCATATGCCACCATACCCAGCTAATTTTTTCTGTTTTTGGTAGAGACAAGGTCTCGCTCTTGCTCAGCCTGGTCACAAACTCCTGAGCTCAAACGATCTGCCGGCCTCGGCCTCCCAGAGTGCTAGGATTATAGGCGTGGTAATTTCTTAAAATAAGACAACAATGAAGTTTGTCACATCAGTTGACTCTTCCTTTCATGAAAGACTTCTCTGTAACACACAAGGCAATTTGATAAGATTTTATCCACACAACTTCTTTCAAAATTGGAATCAATCCTCTCAAACTCTGCTATTGCTTTCAACTAAGTTTATGAAATCCTTTTGTGTACTTTCAACAACATTCACAGGTATCTTCACCAGGAGTAGCTTCCTCCTCGAGAAATCACTTTCTTGGCTCCTCCAGAAGAAGTAACTCTTTGTCAGTTCATGTTTTTCATGAGATTGCAGCAATTCAGTCCCATCTTCAGGCTCCACTTCTAATTCTAGTTCTCTTGCTATTTCCACCACATCTGCAGGTACTTTCTCCACTGAAGTCTTGACCCCTCAATCAGCCATGCAGGTTGGAATCAACTTCTTTCAAACTCCTATAATGTTGGTATTTTGACCTCCTCCCATGAAACACAAATGTTTTCATGGCATCTATTATAGAATGGTGGATTCTATCCAGATTTTCAATTTACTTTGTCCAGATCTATCAGAGTAATCACTAGCTATAGAATCCATAGCTTTATGAAATGTAGTTCTTAAATAATAAGACTTGAAAATTAAAATCATTCCTTAATCCAGGGGCTGCAAAATGGATGTTGTGCTAGCAGGCATGAAAACAACTTTAACCTTCTTGTGTATCTCTCTCAGCGTTCCTGGGTGACTAGATGCATTGTCAATGAGCAGTAATATTTTGAAAGGAATCTTTTTTTTTCTGACCGGTTCTCATCAATGGGCTTAAAATATTCTGTAAGCTCCACTATAACAGTGGTGCTGTTATCCAGGCTTTGATGTTCCCTTCATAGAGCACAGGCAGAATAGATTTAGCATGATTCTTAAAAGCCCTAGGATTTTTAGAATGATAAATGACCATTGGCTTAATCTTAAAGTCACCACCTGCATTAGCTCCTAACAAGAGGGTCGGCCTTTCCTTTGAAGCTTTGAAACCAGGCATTGTCTTCTCTTCTCTTTCTATAAAAGAAAGAGACTACCTAATTGCCGTTCTGCTGAATCAAAACTCATCCATATGAGTATCTTTGTATTGCTGGACCTGTCTCTACATACGGGTGAGAGGCTGTGCATTGTCAGACATGGAGGAGATAATGAATGTTTTGCAAAACTGATCCATCTACTTAAGAGTGGTACTGAACCGCACCAAGTTGAAGACTTAACTCCTGCTGTCATGAAGGGGACAGGGTGAGGAGGGAATGGTTGGTAAGGTCTCCTTTCTTTCCCCAGATGGTGATGGTTAACAAATGGTGCTTACGAGGTTACATTTCAAGCAAAATGCTAACAATGCCAGGCAGGACCAAAGCACCTAAATTCTTTCAGGATAGTCTTTTACCTGAACATAAATCCATTATTCCTTTTCCACAGCAACCTTCACTGTTTCACCCTTTCTTTGTCTTTCAGTCCAACACTCATGCACGTGAAGGACCTCTTTCTGGTTTTCCAGTACACTGGAGAATCCACCCAAACTGCCCTATGAGAAATGTATTCCCATGTCATG